ATGGAAACAGGTAATATGGTCAATTATTATGATTACTGTTTGGCTTAGGGTCTTCTAGCTCTTAAAAATACACAAATATACAGGTAGGCATAAAAATCGTATTATGTTAAGTACGATATCATTACAATTTACCATATTTTATCAAACGGAAATTGTTTTAATTAAATCAATGTATTATAAAGAAAAAATACAAGTGATGGTGGGGGGGTGAATGTCCTCTTCACCCCCTTAAAATACGCCCTTGGTATTTGCTCATATTTCAAACATCATTATGGTTAATGATTTTGTTTAAAGACACTGCACTTTACGAATAACACTTTTATAGGGAATTCCAGCCACCTACAACCGTACCTACTATACGTTTTTAATGTTTTTATACTACCTACATAAAATGAGTATATCTAAATTGTTATATAATTCATGATGTTACGTTACTTCGGTTTGTTTATTCCCAGTGGCGTGGTGAACTAAAAATATTCCAGAGGCAACCCCCATATAGATGACCCGCCCCACATGTATTTGCGTGTAAATCCTTGATACCCACCCCCAATATTTAAAAAATCCCAGAGGCAATTGCCTCTGAAATTACTCTTTGCCACGCCACTGTTTATTCCTTATCTCTGACCATATTATATCGGTAGCAAATTTGTATTTGTTACAGTCTTTTTCGTATCGATCGGTACACTTTTATACATTTCAACACTAATTTATGGTACACTTTGGCAATTTGAAATTTCTAAAAAAACATTAAACATTAAGTGAGATTTATTATCTATTTAAAAAAAACTCAAGCAGTTCTTAAAGATCCAATAAATGRGGTGAATATTCTTAAAAATACTATTTCAGCTGACTCAAACATCGCCCCAATAACTATAGTTTTTATAATGATTTAAAACAGTTACTTCATTTAAATTCCACCAGTGATGGTCGATATGATGATGAATATAAGATACATTAGAGTGTCACACATGAATCGATTAATTACCTACACATATTTACTATATCTTGACTGGATATTTGAAAAGTTTCGTATACAATTTCTCTAATAATTATTGATATTACTAGACGTCTAAACAAGCTGAAATCGTTCGAATGAAAAAATTTAGAATTGCAGCATACACACAATG